AAGATTACTAAATACTAATACTAATCTTGCCACAGCGGATTTTTATATATTTTTACATGTGATATGCGAAGCAAAAATTTTAAAAATCCGTTATGACAAGAGTTTGATTATTATTATTATTATAGTTCGTTGTGACGAAAGTTACACATATATTACATTTGATCAACCAATAAAAATTATCATAAATCACATGATATGTTCGTACAATGTACTAAAACAATTTTAAGCTCGTACGTACGTGTCTAGTTTGTCGGTTTTTGATTTTTTTAATTTTAAAAAAATGAGCGATAATAACATATAATGGAGGCAATGCATTTAAACCAAAAAATAGTAACAATGATCTTATAGGAGGAATGATATAATGGAGGCAGAGTATTTAAACAAAAAATGATAATAATGTTCTTATAGAAACGACAGACCTGAAATAATGAAGCATCAGGTCATGTGACAATCAAAAAAAACACCAAGTGATGTTTGCAAATTTAACATGGTCATAACATCGATCAGATAAAGTATAACCTGATTCTAACTTATAGTATCAAGATAAAGCCATCGTTAGATGGAAAGTTGATCTTAACAAAAAGATTTTGCAATGCTTTAAATATGAAGATGAAAAAGAAAAAAAAATTTCTCTTTTAAAATATCCTAATACTAAAGATTCTTCTTTCTGATGATTATCATGCAATTATGAAAAGCAATTTCACAGGTGTTGAAGTAAGTAATTAATTATCACATTAGCATCTTTTTTTAAAAAAATCATACTCTAAAAAATGTTGTTTTTAGTAGTCTTCGACTTGGCAAATAAAAGAAATAAAAAAAAAACAAAACATCACCATTCTAAATAAACAAAACATCTCCATCAAAGAAGCTTATGAACATACAAAAGTTATTTTCACCAAACTTGATGAATCAATTATCATAAAAGGAACTGAAAAGCATTAAACCATTATAAAATATATTTTATGTATAATAAAAATGATGAATTTTACCAATCCACAACATACAATATCTATGATGATGAAACCCAAGATTTTATCACTACTGATAAATCATTAATTTCACAATGGAATTATGAATGATATTTAAAATATGAAAAGAATTTAATTACTACATAAAGTCTAGTGATTATGTTGTGTTCAATAAAGAAGATCACACAAAAGAAGCTTTGATAGCAGCTGATCATCATCAAAATTCAAAGCTAGTAGTCTATTCATTAGAGCACATTATAACAGTTTCATCATGTAGGTGTTATATCCCCAATTTGCTTTAATATTATTCTCATTACAATATTATTTTATTGTGATTATATATAACGCCTTATAGATAAATTCAAGGACAAAGTTTATATTTTATTTATGTGGATAACTCATTAGAAGAAGATAATGAATCAACAGAATTAAAAGTTTCCTGAATTTTTGTTAGTTGTATGTTTTGATGAAGGCCAAAATTCTAATGGACCTATACAATCTCAAACTCAAAAAGATATGAAAAATAATGATGTTGATTTTGAGCCAATTATTGATCGTAATAATGTTACTATGGTTCTCAATAATTTTATTAAGATCAAACAATTCATTGATAAAGAGGTATTTATAAAATGAAGTTTGTATTGAAATATCATGAAATTTATTATTTAGGCGCAAGATTACATGACATATTAAGTGAAATTTTTGAAGATCTCAAATCTTGCAATTCAATCAGCAATACACTTCCATGACCATGACCAATAATTAGTAAAATAATTGAAAAAAGAAAAAAACTTAAATGCTTGCACTGCTAATTCAAGCAATGAACATGTTCCTATATCATTATAGGAGAAGAGATCCAATGGACCATAGATTATGACAGAGTTTCAACATATAAATGTAACAGGCTCAAAAATTAATAAATAATAACGACAAAAGGATGGAGATAAAGAAAAATTATCAGTGAAAATTATTATGCATCAGATTATGAAAGATGACTTATTTCGTAATGGTAATTTAATCTTAATATATAACAGTGAGCTACAAAAGTCTTTGGACATAAATTTGGTCACTACTCCATAATTACCATGCTATGTCATATGATCAAGCATTTATTTGAAAGCTTAGAATCAAGAGAATTTATTTTAAAAAAATTAATAAGAATTCATTCCCCATTATTATCAATAACGAGTTGACAACGTTCATTCATCGATCTAGTTAAATTAATCATAACATTTTGTGGAATATTATCACATTCTTCTACAATAAACCTCTCTAATTCCGCAATATTTTTTGGTTGTCATATTTCCACATTTCTCTTAATGATAGCCCACATGTTTTCTATGGGGACTGTTGGAAGGCAAGATCTATGATGTTATAAAGGTCATCATAATGACATAACACTCTTACAAAATATTACTGATATTAATAAAATTAATAATAATGAATGTTAAAAATAGTAAAGTATTAAAGAAGATATTAAGATAGAATTAATAATATTAATAATGTTGTTTTTATAAAATATGTACTTAAAAAAACACAAGTATTTATTAAAATAATTATCTTATGATTAATATTTTGTACGCAAATAAAAAAAAATCTTTGAGAGATTAATAAAATCAATAATGATAATTGTTCATTTTTTTTTCCACATAACATAAAAAGCAAATTCCAATCTTTTAAATATATTTAATTATCTTTGAAGGACTGGGAAATTTTCTTTGTTCAGTTTCTGATAAAACTTTTTGGCATTTTCATCAATTCTATTCTATTTAGATAGATAAGTAAGAAATACAAGTTTATATTATGTTTATCAAAAAGATAGATAAATGGATATTAGTCTACATACTTTTAAAGCTGAAAGCTTTTTCAAAGAATCAACAATTAATAGTATGCTTTTTGGGCCAGAAGGAATTGTTGCAGAGAAAATTGGATATAGTGTTACATTTATGACATTCTCGAATTATGACAAAAACAAATAACAAATTAAAAATAGAACGACTACGAGAATTTTTTCCAAAAAATTATTTCTGTAAACATATTTTTTTTCCCTACTTCAATCAAAGAGGTTGAATGTTAAATTTGATTTTTAATATATAAAAACATTTTGCTATTATTTTAAGTTATATAATTTAAATTATATGTTGATTTTTTTTTTAAAAAAAAAGCAAGTGAATCTCTAAAATTATCACCCACGGAATAAATAAAAAAATAAAAATAAGTAGTCTAAAAAAAAAATCTACTGGCGATAAAAAATTCAGCACAAAGACTTTTGTGAAAAAATGCTCACGAACGCAAATATAATTAATATATATTTCTCACCCTAATCATATTTCTGATTAATTGAGACCCTTTTATCGAAGAAAGGGAATATCTCTTGGATCTCTTCTTGAACCAATCCAGGTTTCAAAATAAATCTTATAAACGTGGTGGCCTGATGGGCATTTACAAATCCAGTGCTAAAAATTGATGTGGAATTTTTTTCATTTTTTTTGCAACTGAACCAGAAATAATTGTACATGTTAAAATCTGTTAATAAGGCTATCGGTCTTCTTGATGAATGTACGTTTGATGCAATCAACTCAGCTATCAATTGGTTGATGCTTTTTTCTTGGATGGACTATAATAAGAGACGAGATGTAAATTAAACTGTTACTAAAACTAACTATAGTTGAAGATTAAATCAAATTACCTTTTTGATTTCAATTATTAATACGATTACAGCTTTTTTGTAGATGTTGTTAGTTTTTTTGCTTACAATGAGATCGGTTGTGCCACGTATAAGAAGAGTGTCTAAGTATGATTTTCGGTTGTGAACGTCAGTAACATCGTGGTTTCTCAAGAAATCAAAACCGATAAATTCTTTTTGGATATAATCAACATATGACTTAGAGTAGCATAATGGACACTCATTTTGTGCAACAGTCATTTGTATAATAGGCAGGCGGTTACACAGATCCCGTTGCTT